GGGGGGGGGGGTGGGCTTTGGGGCACAGGGGCTCCAGTCAATGGCGGGGACGTCTGGGATGTGAATAAAGCCTGAACGGGGGCTCTATGGGCCGAACAAAAGAGAAGGAGGGAAGAAGAATGAGAAAGTGAATGGGCCGGCTTGTCAGAGCGCACCGGAGAGCGCAGAATGGAGTGAAAGAATGAAAGAAAGTTAAAAGCAGCAAAGGGCATGCAGGGAACGGCTCGGCCACCTGTCTCTCTCTCTCTCTCTCTCTCTCTCTCTCTCTCTCCTGGAGCAGTGTGAAGGATAGTTAAGATGGAGGATCCAAGGGAAGTTCATGGCGCTTTAAACCACGGCGGCAACTTAAACCTAGTTTAAGCCAGAAACGTGGGGTTTTTTTTTACCTGTCTTCCTGCCTTAGTGTCTAACAGGTTCCGGACATTTCCGAGGGCCTCTCCTGTCTTAAAGTTTATGTGTTGGGGTTAATTGGGTATGCAGAGGTGTTCATGCTATGGTCAATGACGCGATGCAGACCTGTTGCTCTCTAAGCACATTTCCCAAACGGTTTGCCTGGTGCCACACAGGACGGACACACACTGGCATGCGGTGTACAGGTGGCACCTGACAACAAGGGGGAGTGACATAGGAACAACGAATGATGAGATGGTCCTCTATCTAAAGAGGTGGCAATAAATAAATAATGGGTTTGTTTCTGTAAAGTGTAAATACTGCAAATTTGTAGTAAGGTTCATATTTTTATTGAATCATAGGAGTGGTGATCAGCAAAATGACTAAAAAGAGCCTACAGCGATGTGAGCTCATCTGCTTCCCTACAGGCCTTATCTAAAGCAGAATGAAGGTTTATTCTTGGGTCAGACACTGCAGGCGACAGCTGAACACAGACGTGTGAAGAACCGAGTAGAACTGAGCCAGAGACCCAAACTTCACATTCCACTGAAATTGCATCTTCCTGGAAGTGCCACATTCTTCTTGCTCGTTTTAAATTACATATGATCTAAGGGCTACCATGAGAGGGGCTGACATCTGCAGAGAGCCGTTTCTTAAAGTGTTTTATGACTGAATCCTATATCCCATTATAGTCAAAAAGCAGCTCAGTTTCTATGGATAGAGAGATGTTTCATATTTAGTTACTAATGGCTTAATTCACCAGCCTCATTGAGTTTTCAGGTTATCGTAGTACGATACTTATCCTATAAATGGGAGAATAACAGATAGATTTTATGTTACTGATTATTTCTCCATGAGCAAGACAAAAGAACAAAATTAATGCCATGGTTACATTGAAACATACCCAGAAAAACAAACAAGCTATCTTCTCAAGTCATGAATGTTGGTGTCCTTTCCTATAGAAAAAAGGCACACAAGCAAAACATAAACAGCTTCACCATTGCTGTGAATGCTTATTCTCACATATGGTAAAACACAACATGAATATATTTACCAAGATTTGTAGCCTCACATCAATACATGTTGGCTGGAAACTAGAAACGATATATTAAAACCAGTTCTGAAGTCCAGAAATATACTTAAAATCAAAGCATATCCTGGCAGATCAGGTAATCATAGCCTTGTTAAAATATGTGTCAGAATTCTCTCTGGACCTAAACTCCTAGTTTCGACAGTGAATTTATTCCAAACCGCAATGCCACACCCCACCTAAAAAAAAGCCCCATATATAATAAAAGGTGTTGAATTCTTTGCTGAAGACACAGGTAAAGAACAAGCCTCACGTACACATGAACACACATGGCCACCTTTCTCCGGTTTCAGCTTCTGCCGTCTTTCTCCCTCCGGGTTCGACTCTGAAAATCATTTCCAAATTCCTGCACTAATGTGCTGCAGGCGCATGAAGAATCTATTAAGGGGCCTCTCTGTTGCGGCGTTAGGACTTCTGCCAATCCCAGTGCTGGACAATGGAAATCCAGCTCAACAAACACATCCTGCAGGACTGCGAGATCAGCCACTGAGAGGCCAATAATGCATTCTTCTCACGTATCAGACATTCAGCACCTCAGCCCTGCCACCTTCATGGTTTTACTTTCTAAACATAACACCGCGAGCTCAAAACATTCGGAGCCTTTGCCTGCCGACCGGAGGAAATCGGAATTATTTAAATGGCACCCAGGATTGCAAGGTTAATTTCAGTGTTTCCACAAGTCCTGTGGACTTGTCAGTTCTAGTTAACAGCAGCTGTTTAAGTTATATGTTTAAGAAGCCTAACAGAACTATGCGTGCGAGACTGGACAAAATGCAAGCCAGAAGCAACACTCTCCCAAGTCTCTCTCACTCACCCGGCGTGAGACCTTTTGCGTGAAAATGCCAAGAGACAAAGTGAATTAACAGGTGTACTAGGCCTGGGGGGGCGGCGGGGGGGGGTGTTGCGGACTATGAGAAAACAAGGTGCAAGGGTGTTTGGGCAAGAACGAGAAAGATCGAAGTGTCTGCGAGTGCAAGGGAGCAGGAGAGGACAGCCCTGGAGACGTGAAAGGAATCCCTTGAAGGGACCATGCACCAGCACTCTGTGTGCTCCATTATTCAGCGAGTGAAAGGGCCAGAGGAGGGAGAAAAGGAAGGGGGAGAACAGCATCCCAGGAAGAACTGTCTGTAGAAATGCGAAGGGAGGGGGGCCCAAGCGCCCAGGCATTATTTCAATCTGGGGGGGGGGGACCAGGTTTGGTGGGAGAAACAAATTCACATGAACGCGGCAGAGAAAGTTTAATGATTTTCTTTACTGGCTTGTACACAAACGTACAAAATTACAGCACACGATTCCTCTCCACACAAGATCACAGTGTTACAACATTCAAAAATAATAATAAAAAAAACTCATTATTGACACAATGGAACATCCACCTCACTTACGAGACACAATCTTTTGTTTGCAAACAAAGCAAAACAAACAGAACTTGGTCCTAAAACAATTTCAGCACTTCTCATTCATTTAAACCTATCTAGCTATTTTACACTTGTGTCATAAATGTTATGACACTGACGAGTAAAACAACTATGCATCGTGCAATTGTTACAATGATCTTACCATCAAAGGTATTGTTCCCCTTTCATAACAACAGGAGGACAGCACTTCAGAAAAGAAAGTGCTCCAAGGTTTATTTCAGCTTTTATATACACACACACTCACACATCCAGTCACGGAAACAACTGGCTTTGCAAACATTACGTTTCACAAAGCGATGCACAAAAAGACAACATTACCTGGAGTTTCATACAATAGTATTTTGTTGTGTTCCTTTTTTCTCTTTAGAAAAAATAAAAATGTTGGCATAAAACCAACAATTAACAACAGTTATCAGTGCAATATTTTTTAAAAAATAATAAAATGATCAAGTTTAAGTCAAGCGATGCATATTTTTTTCTCTTTATATTAATTGGGTTCTCAATTTCGTTATCGCTTTAGTTTTTCCAGGTACATGTACAGGCCACAGTCCCTGGGGTCACACTCTGCAATACCCATGCGCAGAAAACGACAGAGGGAACGAGGGTGACCGGGAGACACCTAAATATGACACAACAGCAAACGCATGCAAAACAAAAACTCCACACGCACACAAGCACACAAATCTGCACATACTGGGCTTTTTTAAAATGACAGTGATGTGATCAGATTTCCCCCAAAGTCTCTTACTGTTGGCATTTAATTCAAAACAAAACAAAAATAAAAAACATTATAAGCAGCATTAAAACAAATAGGGTGCCATGACTTTAAAATGAAACAGGCAGTCTGTATTGACATCTCTCGATGTTCCTGCTATAGTCATGTAGTAGTAATAATCATCGTAATTACACAGTGATAATGAAATAACCATTAGCATATCAATGTTCATATGGTCATAGTCCTGCTCAGTAGTAACCATTCGTTTGCCCCGTCTGCAGTTACCCGAACAGGCCTTAAAGGGGCGTGAAAGGCTCCGCTTTTTGTGCAACAAAACTCCCTGCATTTTTAAGTCATGCGTTAATATTTTTCCTTTTCTTGAATGTAGCTAAATCAGCATTTAACACAAAAATGAAAGCTGAAAGTTAACACATACGTTTAGCTTCAAATAAGCGTTTGCGATCAAATTATCAAATCCTGAAAAAAGTTTGCCCGATTAATAAAAAACTTGCAGAGGGGAAATGACGGGTCTGGTTGAAGACCAAGCGTTTACTGTAATGTTTGGAGTGGGTGGGCGACCGGCTGTTAATTTGCATTTAGGTAAAATCGGCTGAGTGAAATAAATTTATCAATGAAACCAGACTCGAGTTTTCTCTCCTTGGGAAAACAGACCGCAAAAACCAAATCTATGCCATTTCTCTTTGAACACTACATCCGAGGTAGCTGGCAAATACAAAGAAATCATGACTTTAGATAAGGTTCGGGTTAAGAATCAGGCTGGTGATGTCGAATCTCCATAGGGGACAGAATATCAGATTACGAAGCAGCTTGGAAAGTCACCATTAACGTTTGAGACCGATTGATCAGAAACACGACATAATTCAAATGTATTTTCTCATTGTACCTTCATAAATAAAACCCAGTCTGCATTCACAGTGACGACCAGGGACGTTTTAAGAAATACTGAAAAGTGAATTTTTAAAAACATAATCCAAATGCGATTCTCCTGACGTTTTGATACAAAGCAAAAGCAGCGATTTAGTAACATTAACCTTTAACTCTGGTCTTACCGACCTGAAGGTGCTGCCAGATGTCTGCTTGGTGAAGACAGAGCGCATTTAGCTACTTTAAAGAAAAAGGTAAAGCTATTTTATACAGTACTTAGGAATCTTTAGGCATGTGTTATAATTATGAACCCCTTTACAATGCAAAAGTAATTTCATAATGCCGCTTTTTAAAACCAAGAAACTGTTAATCGAAACATACCCAGTGGGTTAAAAAAAAATCAGCATATAGCCAGAAGATGGACTTCATTACCGTGTTCACCTCTTCCCTTTCATATATTCCAGCATGCAGCCATAGCATCAAGTGCCATCTTTTTTATTTAAAAAAAAATCATAATAATTTATAAAGGGCCAAGCGGACAGCGACGCTGCGGGTTTAACACTTCATTCAGAGCCCAATAAAGAGGCGTTTGATTTCAACAGCGACCAAAAAAACGGCACAGGTAACGAAAGACGATCTTCCTCCCCAGCCAAGTTTCGCTATCAGATTAGTTACACATTCAAATAAACAATTAAAGTACCAGCAAAAGAGACGGATATTTTTCAATACTTATGGTAAAATGCATACAGATAGTATAGTGTTCCATTTAATGAGCCAGGCAGACCAAAACCTCGTCTTAAACATAACGAATCACGGCCGGTTTTTTTGACATAACTGGATAAATCGGAAGGCAGTTTTACAAGAGCCGAGTTCTCAGTGTTTTACCTGGGGGGCACACTGAGATCACCGTGCGCCCGACGCATACTTGGCCTTCGTGATGAGGTATAGCACTATGTCTTGGTGTCCCCCGAAGGCGGCGATGTGTAAAGCGCTCCAGCCCTCCCTGTTGGCCAGACGGATGTCGGCCCCGAATTTGACCAGCAGCTTGACGAGTTCGAGGTTGCCGTCGATGACGGACTGGTGCAGGGCAGTCTGTCCCTCGGGGCCGAATGAGTTCACGTTGAACTCGCAGTTTGTCATGTTCTGCAGGAGCGAGTGCAGCTCCTTCGTGTTGCCCTTCTTCACCGCCTCCTGGAAAACCCGCTGCGGCGCCGAGCACGTCGAGATCTCCGCCTGGCTCATGGTTTATTCTTAAAACTAGACACGAACGTTAATAATGATAATAATAATAAAATAATAATAAGGGGAATCCTGCTTTCCGACGCGCTGATCGCCTTGGTATCTTTCTTTCGTTAAGTTGTGGCCGCTGGAAAGGTCTGGGGTTAAAGGAGCAGGGCAGCGCAATTTGGATTTTCAGGTTTGAGGGAATGAGAAATGACACAAAGTGGATATCCAAAAAAAAGGACAGGGATGATCGAACACACTCAGTGTGTAAAAAAAGTAGTCAGTGTCACAGAAATCCAAAATGCCTACCAGATGTCTTTGTTAGACCTTCCAAACAAAACGTATGATGTAGTTTCCCCTTTTCGCCTTCTTCGTCCTGTTAGCAGCACCGAGGTTATTGCAAATGATAATCTGGAAACATCTAGCTTTCGTAAAAAGGGTATGCTAAAATTGCGAGTGTTAAAAATATACGAATATATCTCAAAGGCAGTATGTCCGCAACCCGTCGATTAACAAGTCAGGATCTTCTTGATATTTACCTCCCGACTTTGCCTCCGTAATTTCCCAGGAGCTGCCGCGGTCTGTGAGAAATGGTGACTGCGGGAGACAGGAATAGGAGAAAAAGTCAGTTCTCTGAAAAGTGCAGCATTTCACAGCATAAATGACCATTACGGCAAACAACTAGTTCATGTTGGATTTGCTCTGCTTAAATGCATTTTTACCTGCCTATAACTCCTGGACGGGTCTTGGCGATGAACTATAGAATTCCTCCGCGTGCTCCTTCGCGTGCACTCCGTACAGTCCGCGCGGCTGTCTCTGCCTTGCAGCGCACTAGGGGTCTTTTTTACGTCTCCCATATTTGCATAACAATAAAGCCCCATAAAACTATCTCATGTGATACGGGCGGTAACCGAGGTATGCAATAGGCTGCTGGGGCCATTTGGGGAGGGTCCAGATGCTCCAAGCCATGGAAAGAGGCGGGTTTTGAGCACCAATTTTTAATGTACAAACGCGCAGTACCAAACGACCAATCTTATTTCCAATTTTAAAACACTACAACTGATGTTAAAGAATGAAATACCCCAAATAACTGAAGGATGTATTGCAAAAAATATCTTACTAATATTCTCAAGTTTAATGTATGAAATCATACAATCCTCATTGCATTGAAACATGTCATCATATAAAACGATGTTATTTCCTAACAAGTGCTAAAGCGGAATGTGTTGGGTAATGGTTATTTACTGATGTGTGAACTAAACCTCTGAGTAGCTGTAAGACAACGTCCTTCACGTATTAAAAATGAAAGTGGATTGCTGAAAACAGTGTGGCTTTCTGTCTGGAAGGTTACTCAGAGCTGCATTTGAGTCAGAATTTAAATGACATATTTTGCACTTTTTGAAGAATCGTTGGAATGTGCACAAAAATACAAGATCATGTAACGTATTTAAGGTTTATCGAGGTTTTGTTGTGTAATAACTATAATTTTCCCCAAATCTAAAAGTAGCCTACACAACGAAACTCGAGTGCTATTAATCCAAGACAAATTAGCCTGTACAAATCAATAGTATGCAAAATATGATATCTATAGCCTATAAGAAGTGCACTTTTTATTCTTTATTATTGTTTTCGGGAAAAAAGCTCTCGAGTTTTTTTCCCAGTATTCACTGGCGAACAATGCAACAGGCGATAGCGTGTATGAACTGTGCAAGGTGGAGGTGGTTAAATCCGCACCAACTGTTCGCTTCATTTACTTCACTTATTCGCATTATTCTTTACGCATTTTGTTTGTTGACAGTAGGAAGGACCATCACTGACAGCTGAAGGTAAAGTTAGGTAATAAAATTTTCGTAGCAATGGAATACCTATAAAATGCGTTCTAATACGACGTAGTTGGCTCGAGTTACATATAATCTGCAACTCTTAGCTGTTCAAACGATTTGTTTGAATATTTTGAGCGGACATTCCAGTTGTTTCAAGTGACAGGCAATGGTACTTCAAATAACAAAGCCTGCGCGACTTCCTGCGTGAGTTGAAAGAGGTGCGCGCTGTGAAGAAAATGACACGCAGCACCGTGGGAACCGCGCGCTGTAACCACGCAGCCTTTAACTGCTGCTTTTCATGCCGCACTCTTGGCGTGGAAACCTTCAAGATATAGAAACGCGCTACATTTATTGCCGACCAGATGGACATTCAGTCATCAGACCGAAGTATGATAATACAAGTCATTCTAAAATTCATTTTGGGAGCGCAAATATCGTCTGAAAATGGAATTTCGTTCAGCCTAATTACCATTTGTTGTCAATAGCAGATTAAAAGATAGAACATTGACTTGCTGTTTATATTCAGAACGAAGGCGGCAAATGGGCCCAAATTCCTTCATTATTTTCCATAAAATAACGAAGAGTCAGTACTTCGAAAGGTTACAGTCGGTTACATGTCCTTGTTAAGGTTGCCTTGAAAATATTTGCGGTCAGTTTAGCTGGCTTAATTAACATTAGTTCCATTATACGGACACACACACCAATTCCATTATATAGTGCTAAATAATGAATGTCATCATATAAATAAAAATGTGCAATTTGATGTTTGGAGCCTAAACAGCTAAATCTATTTCTAATAAGTAAATATTAACGTATTTGTACCGCTTGGGACCCCAGCAGAATGAAATAAGGGCAATGAACGTATGCACTGAATTCAAAGATCGTAATAACAGTTCGCGACATTCAGGTACATTTGCTCGGACCTCTCCGTCAAGCAAAGCCCTTCAGTTCATAACTTTGATTACAGCAGCAAAAGGCGTTTACATGCAATGCTTTGCAACACGTATGACGCGGTCATTAATTCGGCGCAGTTCCTAACTTTTTTAAACTTAGGGGTTTCCTCTACTAGGTTTTACTGAATTCATGAATTTTCATGAGTATCTCTAAACCCTTCCTAAAAACTGTTCTCATTGTCCTTACTTACATTCAGTCTTAATTCTAAGTTATTTCATTGCAATTTTTTTGTTCGATATACATTAATATTCCAGCGATCAAAAAGGGATTTTAAACTGTAAGTACAAAGCAGCCCACGTTACTTTCTGGCGCCCGCAGCAGAAGCTCGAGCGGAGCGGACGGGCGGAGCCGCCTTCGGGATTCTGCGGAGAGCGTGACGTTACAATGGAGAAGGCGGGATTTGGGAATCGCGTTTAAGGAGCGTGGGAAAGAAGCGAGCCTTTCTTCCCAGCGCTAAGAGAGAGAGATCAAATAACACAGTGCAGCAAAAGTACGGCATGCCCAGCTAAGGTACCGTCCCAACGCAAGAAAATCGAGACGTTATTTCGAAATGGCAGAAACAGAAAAATAACAATCTTGCCAGCTCGTTACATGTATTCTAACGTTTTATATTCACATCCCATAAATCAACACGTAAGGACTTCGCTTTCTGGACAAGCAACGGTGCACGATATCTTATTTGCCTGTTAAAAAATACTTTGACCGAATTTAGGCAGACAAGGCTACGGAAACATGCAAGATGGAAAGTAGCAGATGACTTGCGATCACATCTTCTGCCGTTACTGACTTCTGTATAATGTCAGGGTTCCCATTTGACGTCTTTATTTCACTTGTTGCTCTTTCGACCTGCTAACAAAAATACACAATTTTAAATCCACTCTAAACCATTTAGTGTTCAGAAATATTAAGTGCATCGTCATTTCAAAATAGTAAATGCTTAATACCGTTTTATTTGCGTATCCTAATGTAAAAATTCATTGAGAAAACTATGCAGTTAAAAGTTATGCAATGAATGTAGTAAAGCCTCATTCACACGAAACTTACATTTTGAAATGTTCGTCTGACGCTGAGTAAAATTTAAATGTTTGGATTTTAAGGCGTTATGTTTTGTGTTTTAAGACGTTACGATTTCAAAAGAAATGACAAAATTATTTGAATTCCAAATAAAATACTGCAAATAGCAAAATACAACTTTCTGCTTCGTCTTAATAACACATCTTATGTAAAAATATGTTTCCAGGTTATTTGTGTGGCTTATGTGGTATGTGTATATATTCATCGTTATTTACAAAAAGAACACTGTAGGAAATTTGCACCGACAAGAAGAAAAAGGTGGTGAAATATTTTGAGGGTCCCGAGAAAATAAAAAGCCGGTGGCGGGTATGCTGGATATACAATGCATTGTAAAAATGATGTAGAATTACATAGACTTACTGACTGTATTGAAATTGGAAGTGTTTGTGTAATATACCTGAGCGAGGAAGGAAAACTTGAAGTGAAGTGAAGACGGAAGGGTAATATACAGTATGTAGGGAGAAAACAACTTAATCTTAGGTTAGCATTTCACGGTTAGCTAAAGCAGTTATTTTTGGTGAAATAAACTGAAATGCCTTTGAACTTCCTTAGAAACATTTGTAAAAAATAAAATAAAAAGAGAACCTGCCCTACTAAACAATTGTGTTCATTTTTCCTGTCAGCTTTTCCCTTGGGAGGCCACTGTATTTCAATGAATTCCACTGTACCCCAACCATGCACTTACACAATATAATACAGCTATTTCAACCACTACCACTTACAAAGTAGAAGCCTTCTAGATTACTATGTCATTTTCCTATTGTTTGTCTGTACCAGAATGTATTGTGTAGGGTAGTTTTTCCATAACCAAAGTTTGAACGAAAAACCATTATGGTTTGGAACATGCTTCATACCAAAAGCCAACTGGGACCACAGGCCGTCTTGAGCTGAACCATCTTGGCATTGCATTCTGGGATTAAACACTATGTGGTCATATAGTTGAGGTGAGTCTTACATATTTTTCATGATTTATAAATGTTTCTCTTCAGAGACGTGGATTCCAGTAAATATTATAAAAGCAAAATAATATGGTGTGAAATACAGAATTCAGACATTAATTTGGAAGATTTCCCCAGAAGTACTTAGAGTTGTTGGGCAAAAATTAATAGCATTTAATGTTTGCAGTATGTCGCTGGTCATTTTATACACATCTATAGCTATCTGTGCTGTGCTGTTTGTCAAAACCTAATGATTGTAGAAGAGGGCCAAGGAATTGGCTAGTTTCTATTTAAAACTACTTACTTCAGTGTTTTCTCATAACGAGATGCTGTGTTACAAGATCACTTTTGAATAACAGAAGATAATTAATATGCAATGCTGGAAAAGTGACGATCTGCTTTAATGATCATTGTGATATATTGATAATTCAACCAATTTTTCATGTGACATGAACTATTAAAGTAAGGTGGTCGGACATCTATAAGATAAAATTATACAAATTATAAAACAAATTGTAAAAGGTCTACAGACACAGACATGGAATTTATATACATGTGGTTCCCGAGTCCCCAGTATTCAAGGGAATAATTTATTGGACACCCCCTTAAATTTGAAGTTTATTTGCATTTTAGTTTAGTATAAAAGTACAACAAAATAATCACAGATTCAGCAAAGTACAAAACGTAATGGTATGCAGAAGAATAAATGCAACAGAACGTTTCAGTTTTTATGGAAGTTGTCTATTAACTGGAAACTTTGAGATTGCATGAAAAATTCACAAACTGACAAAGAACCTTGAGGCTGGGCCACAAAAGAATACAATTCTTTCCCAGATAGCATCCTCTCTTTCGACAGTATGGGGCAATAACGCCAATTTTGAAAGCTAAAAGCACTTATACACTGAACTAATTTAGACATACATAAGGTGCTGATTGAGATTACATGAACACTTTTTATTTGAAGTGTCATTCTGTATAGACATGGCATGCAAGAAAGTGCAGGTCTGTAATCATGGCGCATTAACATAATGAAGCTCTTAGTGCCATAAATCAGGGTTCCCCAGTTCCGGTCCTGCAGGCCCACAATCCAACACAGTTTGCAGATTTCTCTGTTCAAACACATCCTCATCAGCCAGTTACCACACAAACGCATGAATACACACACACACACAAACGTACACAGACTCCACACAAACATATGCACGCACATGTGTGTGTGTGCGCACGCACGCGCACACACACACACACACACACAAGCACAGCTAACCCGTTGCACAACCACCAAATTTTTCACATCATCTGTTTGTGTGTATATACAACACATAGACACTAATAACAATGTTGTATTTGCACAGCAAATTATTTAATAATTTTTGCGTTGTCCATAAAACATGCTATTACATCAAACCACAGATCTATTAATCCAATAAAAAAAAAAAACATTTATTCTCTGCCTACCAGAAGAGATTTCATTAATAGTAAATTAGTGAGGTCAGTTTGTAAATCTGAATTTCAATTTCCAACGGTATTCAAAGGATGGCACTGCAAACTAATAACTAATATCTTAAAAAAAAAAATAAAAATCACTAAACAGTGGATTTAAAAAATGTATGATGAAACAGTACATTTCTAAATGGGGAACTGAAACAACCCAGCAATAGAATAAATTAAGATATAAAGCATAATTAAAGAGAAAGGAGATAAATGATGCCTGAGGTTTGCCATGTACATCTAACCGAATCACTTTCCGTGAAATTCTAAGGGACAGTAGTGGCGTCCCAACAAACTCTGCACCTTCAAGCTCCCTACCAGCCAGGCTAAATGGAACCACTGGAGGTGCCTGAATCTTCATTGATGCTCAGCACCTCTTGGAACTGGGTCAGAACCCGATCAAAATGGGAGCCCTCCCAGAAAACTTTTCCACACGTAGTGCAGATGAAGAACAAGGCCACGTTGGAAAGCAGCCCCACTGGTACCGTGTGGATCTGCAGCTGGGCCCCGCTGGGGAACGTCAGAGTGTCTGGGTCCAGGTCCGAGGCGGGGGCCCAGCGACAGTGAGGCGCGTACCTGGCGCTCATGCGTCCTTTGCCAGGTGACGTGGCTGGGAGGTTCAAAGACTGATACTCCTCCTCCCAGTCCTCAGCCTGCTCCACCTGCTCCTCCATGAGCCCTACAGACACGACACACATTCAGCCGTCACCTACGAGCAGCCGACGTGACATTGGAAAATCCTTCACCGGAGCAGATTTACTGTATTGTTGTCATGTAAACATTTTACACAGATTTAACTGATTTACACACAGAGGGACTGTAGTGGTTCGCTTGGGGTCAAGTTCTATCAAAATACTGTGTCAGAGGGTGTCTTCCCAATTACCATCTTCTGTGTGACAATCCACGTTAAGTTGTGAAGGTTTTGCTCCAGCTCTATATCAGATCTCTGATCTCCAGGACCTTATAGAGCAATGCTTTGCATGGTTCTACCCATAAACTTTCCTGTTCTGAACAGTTAATTAAATAAGACTCTAGGCAGAAGTTCATCTTTAATCAAGTGTAGAGTTTAGTCTTTGCAGTCTGTAGCCCTTAATGCTTTACATAATCAGTACAGACAGGTACTCATATACTAAACACCCAGTCCTCTGCAATTGACGTGTGTCCAGGGAATAGCTTAGTTTTGCTATTTTTGCGAGTTAACACTTAAACCTCAGACATGTACGGTTTTTATTTTATAGTATGTGGATCCTACTAAGACTAACTTTTCTTCTTCTTTTTTTTTTTTTTTTAAATTAAGTGCCCTTCTAACAGACACAGAGGTGGGGTTTCTGATCAGTGTCTCCTGCTTCTGTCTTGTTCTGCGATGTCCTTGTCTAGTGAGACTTTGTCATAATGCCTTAGAAGGCCTGGGGGCAGAGAGCGTGATGTGTTGAGACTGACCTCTCTCTTTCAGTATGCGTGCCATCTCTTCCCTGGGAAGCTTCATGTACTGGTCGCCATTACATGCCTGAAAAGACATCAGACGCGGCCACTCGCTGAGATTTTAATGCCGAAACGCGCTCGGACAACAAACAGGCCACTTACGAGACCGCATTTAAAACAAGCAGGTTACAGCCATCAGCGGCAGAATAGCGAAACAAGGTCACCCAACATACTATCAAGATAAGAGAGGGCAAGGTGAATGAGACACGTCGCCCGTGTCCCACCCTCAGAGCAATTCAACCGTCTGATTCAGGATGACTTTTGTCCCACACGTCTCATTCCCAGAGCAGAAAATGCTGGAATATGCATGGGAAAGTCAAATTGACGGAGCGACTATTTACTCGAGCAAAGTTTCCCATGGGCACAGAACAGGTAAAAACCTGCTAGACGCACGTAGCCGTCTTGCTCTCGCACACAGTGGCCGTCCCCTCACCCCCGCACGCCACTTTCCCCAGTAAGAGGATTACTTGTGTTTAACGTACAGAGGCTTCAGAATTCTGTCACACCACCGTGGCGCAGTTTGTTTTAACAACCTGTAGCGCAAATATGCTCGACAGCGGCTTCAAGCAAACTGAAAAACCTATGAGTCATCTTTTTCACACTTAAGAATGACTGTTGGGCCTCTCATCCAACACCATGTTCTTTTGTCTCGAGAATGATACTCCCAGAGCCGGGTGGTTATTCTTAAAAAATGTATTTTGGTGCTAAGCCAAATTTACAAGAGCAATTTGGTATCAAAATTGACATCAACTAAAATTAACGGCAGTAATAATGATAACAAACCAAACTGGCAATAGTCAGTCTGTGGTGCAGAGACAGGAAGGCACTACTACACATACAGTAATACTGTAACTGTCACAATGACACTAATGCACATAACTCCTATTAACGTTCTTAGGCAAAGAAGCACAATCAATCAAAGTTAGTGTCTTTGGACCGGTTACATCCTGTTGAAAAGTGAACCAATATCCCAGGTCTAACCTTGCTTAAAGCATTAAACTTCAGGATGAGCCCTCAGAAGCTGCAAGCTGTGAAATCAGACCCCTAAGACATAGCTATTTATTGTGTAAACACAAATGCCCAGTTACTATCTCCGGCTATTTTTTTTCTTTTTCAGAAAGGTGACTTTTATGCCGTTACGTGATATGTAGATCTGCCGTGTCTTGGAGCCTGTGCACTGCACTGACAAGACAGCAGGAAGCCTCTCTTGATGTGACAACAAAGCGTGTTTGAATATGAGGGTGTGCTGGGGGGGGGGAAGTGAGGGGAAGGAAGGGGGGGTGAGTGGCGATAAAGAGAAGAGAGGGAACGGGGGAAGGGAACGAGGGGAGAAAGTACATTCCCAGAGCATGAAGCTTCAATCTCCCCAGGCTGGTCCCATGGGAAAATCCAGGCCTACATGCAGGAGGACGGGCTCTGAGGCAGCTGGGTCACATGGCCGCGCAGCCAGCCAATGAACCGTGAGTGATTTGATTCAAAAAGTGGACATGTCAGGTAAGAAATGATGCGAGCTAGTGTGGGAAGAGGGGGAGGGGGGGCAGAGTCAGATTTCTCTCTCTTTAACCTCAACAAACGCAATCTCTGAAATCAGGGTACAGAAAGCGCTTTGGCTCTTTGACTAACTGCTCATATTTTCTTATTTGGTTTTATGCAGATAGGACGACACAGGATATTCAATCACATCAAGCACATTAAAAGGTACTGGAATTATTTTTAAATTTAGTTATCTATATAAGATGTGGTTAGATAGTTAATAGGAAGCTATATAACACATTTATAATACCCTGTAATTATCATACAGTATCAGCCACAATTTCTAAACCAAAACCGGATGCGCCTATGAGGAAATTTGTCCAGTGTATGATTGTACTGTAGATTAATCAATGCTGGGGCATGAGAGCACTCAAAAATGAATTTTGAAATTATTCCTCAAAATTCACCAGTGTGTCATGAAATCTGTTCCAATTTATTACTATTCTGACTGTCATTTTGAAGTAATTCTGCAGGGATTTTTTTATTTTTTTTTTAACAAATAATGCTTCAAAAATGTTACTTGGACCCTGTTGTTTTGGAGAAGTACACCCATCCTTCCATTTTCTGTAACTGCTTCAGGGTCGCAGTGGTTCTGGAGCCGATCCCGGAGACTATGGGCGCAAGGCAGGGAACAATCCAGGATGGGGCGCCAACACATCGCAGGGCACAAGGCAGGGAACAACCCCGGATGGGGCGCCAACACATCGCAGGGCACAATCACACACCATTCACTGACACACACCTACGGGCAATTTGGTAATTCCAATTAACCTCCGGATGTTTATGGACTGTGGGGTGAAACCGGATTACCTGAAGGAAACCCCACGACGAACATGCAAACTCCACACACGTGGAACCATGGAGACTCGAACGCTGGTGAAAAGGCGACAGTAGTTTTAGCACTGCGCCACCATGCCGCCCCTTTGGGAAAGTCAGCACCTCCAATTTCAAGTTGAATGCGTCAGGATTAGCATAAGCGGACCATCCGTCTTCAGCTCAATCGATTGAGGACGTCTCCCAGCGAGCTCCCCGGGCATCACGGGCCTTATTGTGCATCTGTCCATCACATTCCTGCCCTGATTAAGCAAGGTCATCATAACTAGATTATAACTAGTATAAGATTACTTTGCTCTGCATGTATGCTTCTAGTCACACCCCTCCACGCTCCCCATCACCTTCCTTTAAACTTTGACCTCTGACCACATCCTTCTAGGGGTAAATTAACACGTACGCCTTTCAAGAACACCCAGCTGGGACACAGCAGCACCGAAGCAGCTGTAACTCACTTGAAGCACAGGTGTGTCGACAGTCCAGCAATGTCAAGTTTAGTTCAACAGCATGACACACATTTCTGTCATTCTTCTGTAAAAAACTGTGACTGCATTAAATCTGCCCAGCAGCTCTGGGCAGTATTTCCCTTCAGAGGCTCGACACGCCTCACCTTTCCCACCGTCTTCTGCTGCTGGAGGGACACATACTAGGACACCCAGTGTCAAACAGTGCAGCTCACTACTGGTGTCACCTCCTGGATTCACGGCAAGAGATTAGCTGGTTCCCTCAGCGGGTCATTAGGCTACCGGGTGCTAATCTTCTTGCCAGGTAAGTCATGCAGGTCGTGGCAGAGCAAGGTCAATCTCCAGTCAGCGCTTGGTACGCTAACATATGACATTAAATTTCCATTCATTGAGCAAATGCTTTTGTCCTAGGGTCAGGTGGATCCTGGAGCGATTAGGGTTAAGGGCCTTGCTCAACGGTTCAACAGTGAGATCACTTTGGCAGTCATAGGATTTGAGCAGGCAACCGTCTACCCACAGGGGGAGGGCCCTAAACCACGGAGTCACTCATACAGACCCCTAAACCTGCAGGCCAGCTGATATTAATGGGGTGGCTCGGTTATGAAGCTGGTGTCGGGCTTTGACAGTACCTAAACTAAACATGGGAACGCTTGAGAAGGGTGTAAGCCTCGTCGAGTCACAGAGCAGCAGCGGCCCCCGCCGTACCCGCCGCCCTCTCCCAGCGCCTCGGCCGCATGGGAGCGCCGCACCACCGTTGCGCAACATCACATATCTCACACCTTCTCCCACAGGCATGCACAGGCATCTGCGGAATGTTATTGTAATGCTCCATGATTCATCCCAACCGTAAATATTGACACCAACTGCAGGAGCACCCTCTCCCTGGGAACCATGTGGGACTGACCGGTCCTGGGGGGTGACACATTTTGGCAAGGGGATGCATGGTGAGGTGAGGTGGGAGCCGGGTGGGTCATGAGGAAGGAGCCGGCCCTGAGGGCCGAGCCGTGTCCTTCCTCGTAGCTACTGGCGGTTGACTGTCCATGCAGGTCTTCGCCATGGACCCAAGCTTTAGTGCTCCGAATGGGGTGCATCCCAGATAAGCCCATGTGCAGCTGGCTAGTACAGAATTTCCTCTTCAGCAGGTTAGGATGCTGTGTTTCTGTTGTCAGCTCAAATCCAAGGATCATTGTAGTGGTTTCACCATCGAGCCCTCGAGCAAAGCCTTTAACTCCCAACTGCTCCAGGGACTGTCTGGTCCTGCTTTTGTGCCAACTAAATAAATCCAACGTAAATGTAAACGGTCCAACCGACTCTCCAGGAACACAGTTGCCAAAGTCAGGTCTTATCCAATCCCTAGAGGGCTTTGCCACAAGCAATATGTGTAGGGAGAGAATTTGCAACAGGTTACCTACTTTCACAAGAACGAAAAGATGAAAAGGAGTGTTGGGTGATTCTGGGGCCGTGACAGAAATCTGAGGGAGAAAAGGGAGGGAGAAAGAGGGGCGTTTCTGCCCCTGATCTGAGGGACAGAGCATCGCACTTGGGGTGGGGGGTTAGAGAGCTCGGTGGGAAAGCAGGGGGAGGGGCTGCTGGCCAGGCCACACACTGACCGAGCAGAGCAGAGGCAGGCAGCCTACGGAACAACCAGCACACAGATAGTGGGCTTTGAACCAAATTACATGTGTCAGCAAGCGTTAAAAAATACATAAGAGGAGCATAACTTGCACAGCCCAACAAAGAGCTATACCCAGAACCCTGAAGATCAGGCACAGCATAGAGCTATACCCAGAACCCTGAAGATCAGGCACAGCACAGAGCTATACCCAGATCCCTGAAGATCAGGCACAGCATAGTACAGAGCTATACCCAGATCCCTGAAGATCATTTACAGAGCAGCAGCGTGTCTCCGAATAGTATTTTTCTCAAAGGTACAATGCCTGTGCTCCTAATGAACAAACCTCGGGCTTCTTTTAAAGAAATCTGTGTTCAGCAAGTTGCAAGTTTTTCTTTCCATCCATCCATCCATGTCAGGGTCATAGGGTACTATGTTCGTGGATTGATGCAGATTAATACCACAAATCCATCGATCCTGCACTGGGCCGGGGGGCCTGGAGCCTCTCAAGCACGACCCTGCACAGGAAGCAGCTACACTGCAGGACGTGCGCAGGAGCAGTCTCTCACCCACAAGCACATACTG